AGCCATGCTTCGGCACGAATGGGCCGGCTCGACCGGAGTAATACCACGGCCTCACAGAAAACCGACGTGAAGCAACGCTTGCGTTGTGTTTCGTCGTGCGAGTGAGGTTACCGGAGGCCTAATTACCCTCCCCTTCCCCAATCTCACCAATCCCTGAAACCCCAACGATCCTCAAACTCCTAATCCCCAAAAGGCCGGTAACGTACTTGTAACGCCTCTGGTGTTCCAGGTGTCCATGGGCGACGCCGATTGCTAATCCGTCTGCTCATTTACCGGCTTATGCCATAAAAAAAGACTCCTAACACCATTAACAAGTCATGAAACATAACAAAAAAGTCAACAACTACGACAAAATAGACAAACAATATATAAAATTAATTATTGAAGAGTTAGGACGTCAATTAGAGCGTTTGCACCAGAGGTAAGCTAACTAAATCCGGCCCTGTTGCCGGAGGGGAGGAGATTAATCCCTCTTGATGGATCGCTATCCCCAATCTGTTTTTGCGTAAATGAGAATAAACTGTTTGCCCAACCTGTCACCTATAGCTGTTTTTGTATGTTTTAAGCTGTTTTTAGGCAAGCTATAGTAAGCATTCTAATTGTTTTGTTAGTCTCGCTTTCATAAAGTTGTTATTGTTCAAAATCTGTTTTTTCTCAAAAGATCAGCATAATATTGGCTTTGTTTAAAGTAAAAATCTTTTATTTTAATACATCAAACTTTGCATTTAATATCTTTGATCTTTATCCGTTGTCTTTGTTTGTGATTGTCAATATTATTAAAGAGAAATCTTTAAGTCAGTCTGCATTAAAATATTTTATTACTCAGTATACGCTGCGATCGTTGACCTATACAGTGACAGATCTAGTAACAGTAAGCGTGATTACTTTATAAGAAGCCTCAAAAACATAGGGCTTTGTGTGTAGTAGAGTATTTTTAACCGACTTCAAAACAAAGGAGGTTCTCAGTTTAACTTCAATGTATAATGTATGTTTGTGCGCTATTATTTCGTGATTGTTTGAAATGATTTTGATACAGTTTTCAGAAACGTATAAAAATATTTAGTATTATTAATTAACCGACTTCAAAAAACTCTTTTTTTACACGACTTTAAACACAAGTCGTGTTTTCTAAAACGTAGTTTATAAAAGAATATTATATTTATTTGTTTATAAATTAACTAGCGACCCGCCTCGGCATCGCACGGGTTTATATAAACCTTCCTTAAGAATCACTTTACCTATTAAAAAAAATCGCATCAAAATCCGTTACGTAGTTACAAAGATCTAAACATACATAGGGACAGACAGTGGACAGCGAATTTGTTTTATACTATATAGTGATATGGGTGTTTAATAAATGAAAGTAGGATTTTCTCACCAAGTTATAAGAGAAGAAACGGAAAAAAAATAGCTTATTAATGAGTTTATAATGTACAAACTGTATCAGCGACTTTAGCAAAGGTTTCGTTCAATTTTTTCGATTCGTAATTACTTTATTAAGCCGGTGGTAATCCTAGTTGACAGGTCAGTTGGTCCAAGTCGTTGCAGGAATAAGGATTAAGTGTCGGCCCTCTCTGGTTTCACTCTGTATTTGAATCGTGACGACACTGTGATCAAGAGGATTAGAAAGCTACGACGCTGCTGACATTTTGAAGACATGATTTAATTGGGGTACTCTGAAATCAGTTGCGGATTGTCTAAATACAATAAATTAATTAGTTTTATGTCAGATTGTGAGTAAACCAATAAAAGATGAAGTTATGAAGGTTAAAAAATCAATTTCCGTACAGATTGCAATTATGATTATAATTCGAATCGTTTTTGTAATAGAAATGTTCAAAAAACCAGCTCCAGAATGCAAAGATCAATCAACACACATCTTATGAACTTAAAGCTTGCAAGAAATCAAACAAAAATATAAAGAAACATTCGGAACCACGAATTGCTCTGAGCACCAGTCAGTTATGCCACTTCAAAATTAAGCATTACATTACATAAAAATATGAATATTTTCACGGATCTCGCTTCCACCTGTAAAATATAATATTCAAAGGCAATATCTCTGAGCGATTCCGAGAACCTATAAATGTTCACCATAAAATGACGGTATACCCACATATCTCTTGCAATCAAAATCGAACCTTATAGCTCAACAGATAGAGGCTGGAGCAGCCGTAAACACAAGTTGGTGAACGTAAATATTAGCACCTGAATAATCTGTTATATGGTCTGATATTTATTTCTTTCAATGTATTAGTGCCTCCCTAAGCTGAGCTCGTTCTTCTTTTATGTACGGCCGCAGTAAAGTACAAGCAGCCCTCTGGAAAGTTTTAATTAGTTTGAAAATATGTGTAATTTAGAAATTGCTTACACATATACTCGTAAGTCGACGGGTTACTGAGAGGGACCTTTCCTCTTTGAAGAGTACTGTGTTAGGGTGTGTAGAGGATGAATGTGAGGATATTAAGCTTAGCGAGTGTTTACTAACTAAGTTACTAGGTCGGCTATCGGTTTTTCATATCTCACCTTTCCAGTATCAATGTATGTAGGTACAATTTCATGGGAACATGATTTCAGAACGAAATAGCCTTTACTGTTTGGTTCGGTTCGTAGCTGCAGGTAACGTTTTGGATTTCCAGACAAATTCTCGGAATACACTGAATGGTTTTATTCGTTTCTCATCAAGTTAATCGTTTGTAGAATGTAAATGAAAAAGTTGATGTTTACTTCAAAAAATTGTTTACCAAATACAAAATGTATATGAAATAAGACCTAGGTATGAATACGAAGGATCAATTTCTCTGAACAAAGCAAGCCTTTACAATAGCCTCACAGGAGGAAACCTTGAAACAAGCTACATATACATACATACATATGTTAATCTTATCCGACCCAAACTAATCTCCACAAAGCTTGTTGTGACATGTTATAAATCTTACCGATCTCTAAGGAAAGTAAAATGTTCAAAGACTCCACATTTATATGTATGATGGCCACGGTCCAACTTTAAAAAGGATAACGACCACAACAAAAGTGCTCCTTTTGTTAATGGTCAAGAAAATGCAGCGATTTCTTCAAGAGAATTTTCTTTTGCAAACAAATGTACGTACGAAGGAGAGGTTCAAAATAAACTGCGGTGTGTCTTGAACTAAGTCAGTATTCACATTACGTTGACAACAGAAATAATGAGACTTGGTTTTCATTTGTCATCATCAAGCTTTCTTTATTTCGGTATGTTATTGTTTGGTCCTTAGATCTGAGACAAGAAAAAGGACCAAATCTTTGACAATAATTACTTGTCTACCTTTGTCTGCTATCTAACTTACCACACAAAGAAACCTTTTGATTTTAATTAATTCGACATGGATTTTTATTAGAAATATCTTTTAAATTCTGTAAGTAATGATTATAAGGGATCCCTCGGTGAACTTGAATTAAAATATGGTCCTAAGAATAGTGTTTTAGGTAAAATGTCGTGAGGTTTTGTAGGTAAAACAACGAGTGGCTCATTTTGAGTACGGATACAGGTGTGCTTAGTAATAAAACCTCTTAAGGCCCAACTACTAAGCTCTGCATCCCAACTTCCTAAGAAAAATAACAAGTTGGAGCTCGCGAGCGTTATGATTATAACACGGCCATGTATCGTCACCGCTCCCCAGTAAACTATTACACGGAGGTAAGTGAGTCCGTAATTTATTCGGGTAATCGCGTAATTTGTCGCAGAGGATTGGTGTAATTTGTCCTCAGGTGCGGCCCGGTCGCTTGTTTTCTTGGAAATACGTTCCATGTAGAACGAGGGATTTTTTCACTTTAATTCTCGCTTTCCTTGTTTTGGTTTTGTGTGACTTTGTAGAAGTAAAGCTATATAGAATATTTCTTTGAAGTGTTTATTTCGTAATTTGGTACGAAACAAAATGAAGAAGTTATATTTATTTTTGTTAGCACTTTCAACTGAAGCGTCGGAAAAATATTTACAAACCTTTGTCCTGTTGCTTACGAAGGGGAAAAGTATATATTTTTTGTTTTTCTACTCAATTAGGAATGTTTAATGACAAAAGTAGTATGTACAGTAATTATAATTAGAAATTAGACTATCAGGGTGTATTAAAAAGTAAGGTTGTTGTTATAAGTGTAGTGTTGTTCCAGCTGGCTGGGTGCGGAGTGAATGCCTCACAACATGTTGGTGTTAACTACACATTGTCGAGGGGTGATTAACTGCACTCGCCAGTCCATTGTGCAGATATAAGCGGAATGGAAACGCCATCACATACGATTGTATACTTTCTAAAGTTATGTTATGGTTTAAATTGACACTACGCATAACCCATAAAATATACGAGAAAATCTTAACATAGGTCAAGGATTTTTTACAAAATTTGACAACAAAAAACTCCTATCTCTAAAACAACACCTTATACTATTATATCTTATACTATTATATAAAGCGGAAGAGTTTGTTTGTTTGTTTGAACGCGCTAATCTCCGAAACTACGGGTCCGATTTGAAAAATTCTTTCTGTGTTGGATAGCCCATTTATCGAGGAAGGCTAAAGGCTATAAAACATCACGCTACAACAAATAGGCGCCGAGCAGAGCGAGTGAAACCGCGCGATACGCAATAGGGTACATTTACTCTATTGCGTGTGTTGGAGCTGATGCTCTTGTCTTGATTACTGATAATCTTGATAAATGAAACTTGTTGAATTATAGAAATTTATTAAAACAATACTTGATATTAAAATGACTTGTGTGCACACTTGTACGGTCAATCGCGAACTGGTCTAATAAGTAAAGCGTTGAATGCGCAAAGAGTAAAATTGCAATTATACAAATTCATGTACTTTGTACATATTTCCCGGGCGGGAGATGATGAGGCTGTGGCGCACAAATCAAATTAATAAAATATGTTCACATGTCAAATGATTAAAACTAATAAACATCATGATAAAAAACAGAAAAATAAAAAATACAAAATCTTTATAAAAACATGTTTCACTAAAATCAATCCATCTCTATCCTCTCAGTCTGAGGTCTTGTCCCTGGCATTGTTGAACGCCGTGTGCTCGGCAGCGGTGGTGTAGTCGATGTTTCGGCTCTTGCAGCCGCTAGCGGTACTTGCCATCGACAGCGTACTCGACGAAGTGCATATATTACTCCTGAGATAGCAACTATGGCAAACATCACATATATCATAACGTAGTGATGTATGTCATGATATGATATCTCCTCCGATGCTGTCGGTGTCTGGTCTTCTTCTTGCATGAGCAACTGAATCCTGTCTCCAAATTGCTCTGTATCTTGATACAATTTTGTTTGGGAATTATTATTCTGGTTTCCCGCAGACCATTGCGGTAGGGTAATCTTAATGATGTCATTGATTGGCGCGATAGTCGGTGCTGGCAGATCAGGCAAAATCTTGATTTCGCTTGAGTGAATCTTGGACGGGTAAATCGTGATCTCGTTTGTCTTTAATAAACAACCTTGTCCAATGCTGATAAGTCCAGAACCTGTTAGTTGATAGGTTTTCATCTCTTCCGTGCATATCGTGCGAACGGTGCAAGTGTCGCAACAAAAATATACGTATGTATTGATTGCATAACTTTCTGTCCAATAATTGCGGCATTGTTCAATTACTGTTTTACATTCCGATATTCCCATCTGACATAAATTATCATTTTCTTTCATTTTATATTCTGGCTTGTGGATGTGATAGAAACATGTTCCTGACTGCATGACACATTGGTTGATATCATTTTCCATCATGGATATATATGTGTCCTTTCTCAAATTGATTGAAATGTAATCTGAAACTGGAACCAATGTTATCATTTGTCTATTGCTTTGTCTACTAATTTTTATTTTTATTTTAATGTCCGTCTGGTAGATTATGTAAAAACATTAGACACGTATTTTTTATTTTCTTACGGATACAAATAGTTTCGAAGATATATTGATTTGAAATATCGCGTGACATCACTTTTGAGTACGATTTATACAATAAAATGACCTAGCTACCTCCCACTCCTAAACTTTGATTTGATTTATCTACGTATTGTTTTCTTATACGACAAAATAAAAACATACGTGTCTAATATTTTTTCATTACCTAACTGACGGACTAATTTGATTTTTAATTTTCATGCCCTGTCATCATCCATATTCGTAGCCAATATCTAGTGATAGACATTTCATAATCAACGGTAAGTAAATAGCTCCGACATTGAGTTCAGAGTTACCAGACTACTTCAGCCAACATTTTGGTAAACTGTTCCGTTTATTTCGGATGCCAGCGCTCAGAGCCAGTGGATGGTCATCGACAAGTTTTTAATTTTCGACGAAGCCACTTCTAGTTGTTCAAACTCGACGGTGGAGCCATAACTCGTAAACCTGTGTAAGTGTAATGGGGTACTAGTGTATGATTTATGGAAAAACCTCGTGTTATTACAAAAACATTCACTGTGAAAATCAGTGTGAAGTAAATACAATGTAAATCTTTACCGTTTTCCGCTCGCAATGATTTCTGATGGAGGTTTGTTCCTGATTTAAGACGATGATGCGGTGTTTTGTGTCGGACAGGTAAATTGAGGTGTAAGTAAATTGTAGCAGGTAACGTCATGAAGGTGTAGAATGCAAAGGAATACGTGATAGAATTATTATTTGCGCAAACAAAAGTAAAAATGGTAGTTCTGCAAGAGCATATTTTACTTCAAATAAAGTGACTTGTTTAAAATATGCTCTGAAATGAATAAAGTACTGCATCGTGCAAAGTTTTTATTTATTTTCAGGATGTGTGTGCTAGGATATAAACTCGAAAGATGGTGAAATTTTAAAACCTTCAAGTATAAACTGCAGCTCGTCCGTTCTCCAGCTAAGCAAGGACTTGACTTAACTAAAATAAATAAAACATCTCTTCTAAAGAAATTCGCCACTTAGTACGAGTTCCCCGAGCAAATTGATATTCAGCCTGCGCCTCAGAATTTTTCAAATAAAAAATAAACAAACGCTAAACAAGTCTGGTCCCAAAAAGTACTTATTTACCTCAAACCGAACTTTCTTCAGAGTTGCTCTGACACGGCCTCTTGATAATTTAATTTTTTTCTCTCGTCAGAAGACGTATCTTATTACGCATTCGAGTCTCGCGCGCCACTATTTATTCCTTATACATTCGGCTCACGTAATAAATCACAGTTATTTAATCTACTGAAAGATATATATGGGTATTTACCCGAATAGTTCTCTCATAATATTTGTTGAATGCTGTATCTGTGGGACTCATCTAGATTTCAAGCAAAAAAATCTGATGTAATGGCAAAAGATACATAAATAACACATATATTCAACTAACTACCTTCATTCTCTTTGAATGTAGTTTTATACTTTGTAGCTCCAATTTTCCCAGCGTAATAAAATTTGGGAAAGTCACTTTTCTCGAAGCTGTATTCGTATTCATAACATTTTCAGACTTGAATTGAGTTGCTTTTTTACTTTTTCTACCTTTTCCTAGAGTTATTTCAGGAATTATTTGTCGCGTAAAACTTGTTCCATCAATATTACTTTAGTTATAGCTTGTCACATAATTTACTGGTTCAACGTAAAATATCAGACGTACTTACTCTTATTTTCTCAGTTTTCGTAAGCTGACGTAAGCTGGCATGTAAACGAACCAAACCGTAACTGTAGCAGCATCGATTGAAACAATGTTAGAGATAACCTAAAACTGTTCGAGGCGACGTTATCGATCCCAAGATGTACGCTTCAATAACCGACAGATTAGTTGCAAGCTAACGAAATATCGACGCCCTAATCCAGGATACTCGAGGTGAGTGAAAAATTAGATTGGCGAGCACCGGACACGGTGGAACCTAGCCATAATCTCATTGCCTTGGACCTGTGCGAGGGATAAGTTACGTGCGAGATGGATGTGACAGTTTTTGATTGGAGAACGGATCATGTGCTCTACTGCGACCAGATGAAATATTATACGGATGCCAATACTGCTGTATCGTTCTCAAACAAATGTTTGATTTGATATCGATTTTCCATTACCGAGTATTTGAAACTCATTCTTATTTCCGTAAACAGACAATAATAAATAAAGGCCTGAAGACGATTTGGAATGCAGAAAATAAATTACCCTAAATTAAAGGGCGGAGAGCGTCAGCAAACATTTTCGTCGCCAAGATTTCGTCCCTTGTACCGAATTGCGTACCGAGGGAAGGCCATGCCACGGGAATATTTGTGAGTCTTTTTAGCAGGACACGGCAAATGCGAACCGAATCATTTCCGACTCGGATTATTGATCCTACATCGACGGACTTGCTCGAGATTTTGTAGACCAAAAATGTACTAGAGAAATTGGGTTAAGTGCTTATTTCTAGCTGTGATCGACGGACTCCATCAGGATTTTTAGGATCTAAAACTATACGAGAAATTCATGGTACTCGTACGGTCGGAGAGTAGCTATTTATAGTTTTAATGCCAATCGACCTTTACGAGATAAATGACATTTCTTTTTGCTTTCTACTTAATCCAAACTAAGTTCGTGTTAGTAAACTTAATTTTGGGATCTACTAGGTCAAGTCAAGTTCTTAGAATATTTTCTTAGTCTAACAAGTCCTAGAACCGAGATGAAGTAATAATACCTGTGGCTAGGTATATTTGACACGACTGGCTCAGTAGTTACTTTGTATTGCTAGAAGTACAAGAGAACATCATTGAATCATATTTATCGATTCATGTCGTCACTTCCATACTGAATACTCCACACATTGATAGGTACACATTACCTCGTCGCTCATCAGTCAGTACCTCATCTGCTCGTGTTCCTCCAGTGCGCCACTTTACATAAATTACCTTCTCATACACTTCCCATCAATATGGAGTATCAATTTCCCTACAATAAAAAGTATCCGTAACGAGTACCCACATCCCCAAATTTATCTCAAGCACAAACCTTGGAATTTCATTACGACAAACAAATGTATCGATATCGGATGATTATATTATATTCAAAGGGAAATTTCTAAGATGCTTATAATGTATCGGGAATTATTGTTCTGAATTTTTCCTTCCCTCAATAATAACGTTTTCTTTGAAACACTTGAACAAAATTGCTGGGAATTTTAAGCCTTACTCAATGAATTTTGGAATATTCAACTTTGTTTTTGCTTTCTTCTCTGTTGCTTCGTTTAGTGGAGAAAACACAATTTTGAGAATGTAGGATTTGTTGTGAATTTATATATTCTTGTTCCCTTTGTTTTCCTTTTTTGTTTGTCGATATTAAGTTCGGTCTGTTGCCTCAGGGTGACCGTTTTCTGCTTTAGCAAAAAATCAATTTTGTATATCGATATAAGATCCTTCTTCGCCCCCTATTAGGGTGCTCTACAAATTGTGCCCTGTTCCACGAATAAATTTCCTTTCCTTCAATATTTCATTATGAAGTATTTTTTTCATATTTTTTACGATTTATCTATCCCAATTATGATTTAGGTAGTCTTGTTACGAGGTCACTTGAATATAGAATTTTAGCGGTAATACATTTTTTTTCACTTAGTTTATTTTCATTTACCTATAATAAAAATATGATTAAAGTCCAAAAAACATATATATTAGTAAGGACACTATATTACTTTCTATAAGACACACATCCAATAAGATTTAATTAAACTGCCGAACTGTCAAATATAATATTTTACATAGAACCGCGTTTTAACTAAATATGATTATGATAGAATAGATTTGAGAATGTATGACAGTTTGGTTCCAGTTAATCCTATTGATGTTGAAGAGACGATGGAACGGCTTTACGTTCCAATGTAATGACATTAGCACACGACTCTCTAGTTGTATGTCTTGTCGATAATCTAATGGCGCCGATACTATCATCCAATTATGTTATAATAGGTGTTGCTAGGAAATATTCGTTATTTATGTCAGTTGCCTCGATAAAATCGATATGATATTATAAAACTAATAAACATATTTTAACATTAAAACATGTAGTAGGTCTTAGTAGTTAGTAGTAGTGTCAGGTGTGATTAAGCAATCATCGATGATGCTTCTTGTAATTCCTTTCGCGTTCCGGGTGACCACCGGCGGCGTCGATTGCTTACCATGAGGTGATGCGTCGACTCGTTTGCCGCCTTATCATATAAAAAATCTTAATTTAATTTACCATGCCTAGCTACCCAGGTAATTTAACACTATTTAGCAGTTTTTATAATAACTATCGTGATACGTATTAAAAATCGCGAGTTACTCACGTGAACATACTGAGAAAAGCTCTACTAGTTTCGTCAAAGTCGCGCAATCTACAGTAGCCGCGACTGCGCATGCTGCTCATGAAGAAGAACCTCTCTGCAGTTCGAAACTAATAGAGCTTTTCTCAGTATGTTCACGTGAGTAACCCGCGATTTTTAGTTAACCATTTAGCAGCGTTTGTTCTACACATAACCTCAAATAACCTCAAATAACCTTTTAACCCCATATATCACATATTTCTATTAAAAGTATTATTAGCATAACTGTCC